GGATCCCCCTCCAGATCCTGGGATCTCCGTCCACATCCCAGCACCCCCATCCACATCCCGGGATCTCCCTCCACATCCTGGCACCCCCCTCCATATCCCGGGATCCCCCTCCAGATCCCGGGATCTCCCTCCACATCCCAGCACCCCCCTCCCTATCCCGGGATCTCCCTCCATATCCCGACATCTTCTGCATCCCAGGACCCCCCAGGATCCCCATCCCTGTGCTCCCAGTGCCCGGCAAGGCAGGGCCACGCGGCGCCGCTCCACGGCTGTGCACTTTAGTACTTTATTTAGATGAGTTTCAAGCTTATCCTCTTTTCCGATCCCATTTCCCTGTTTAAAAAAAAAAAAAAAAAAAAAAAAAAACAATCTCCTCCGCTCCCGGAACAGGGAGAACCGTTTGGTCCTTTAGGTGAAGGAAAAGGGGGCAACTGCCTCAGCCCCCCAAAACGGGCTGCCCCGGGGAACGGCCCAACAGCATCAAACCCAAAGAGCAGTTAAAGGTGAGTTTAGTAAACCTGCAGGAAGCCCCTTCCTCCTGGAGAACACGTTTTCTTTTTTTTTTTCCTCCTTTTTCCTTCTTTTCCTCCTTTTTTTCGTCTTTTTCCAACGTACAAATAGATCAGTAACTCTGATTAATGTAAAGCCCGCCCTGGCCCCGCGAGTAAATGCAGAGAGAAGCCAGCCCGCTGCCACCGGTGGGATGCGCGGGGGGATAAGGCAACACGGGAGGCCGGGACGGGGGTCCCCACCCCGCGCGTTCCCCCCTCGCGTTTAAAAGAACAACAAAAAACGGGAATTCAACAGGAAAACCCCGGAGCGCTGCGGACCACGGGAGCCGCTTCCCGCGGACACGCTCCGCTCGCTGAATCGGCAGTAAAAGCAGGGGCTCCGAGGAGCGGGAGCCGCGCGGAACCGGGAGGCCGGGAAGGCGCCCGGAGCTGCCGCCCGGCCCCGCCGGGCTCCTTCGGGATGCTCCCGCACCGGCGCCTGTGCAAAAAAAGCAATCTGGGGAGCCGAGCGGCCGCGTTTGCTCCTCCTCGTTGCGCCGCTCGCATGGCCGAGGCCACCTTTGTGCCCGCAGCACCCTCGGAGACGCCCCTTTTCCTGAATCCCGCTGCGCATCCGCCCTGCGCCCAGCTCCTTCCAGCTGTGCCAGAGGCACGCAGGGCACCGGGATGCTGTTGTCACCAAGGCCCCGCATGGTTCAGGCTCTGCCCCGCACCCTCGTGCCCGCCGGTCCCCGCGGCGCCGTCCCAGCGCGTCCCGGGATGTGCGAGGAGCGAGCGGAGCGAAGGGCCCGTCCGGGTTTGCCGGCACGGACACCGTGCCCGGGCAACAAGGTGCAGAGATGACAGCGGGCCGGGCGGGCCGGCCGCTCTTCCCGGCACAGCTGGGAAAACCAAAGACGCCGGGAGTTTCTCATGCGGGTTCCGAGGGGGCAGGGAGGTGGGGAGGATCCATCCGAGGCGGTCGGTCCGTATCCCTGCTCAGGAAGAGCTGCCGGCGGCTCCCTTTCACCTGGGGATGGGAGGCAGCGGGGGCGCTCCCCGCGTGGCTGCAAGGCAAGAAAATCCGCTGCGACCCGCTCGTGTTCCCCGCGGAGACGCGCGGCATGGGAAGCGGCCGCCGCGGCGCGCGCGGGAAGCTCCGCGCTTGGCCAGGCCGCAGGAAACACTTTGCGCGCTAAAAATAAACGGAGCCTCCCGTGCTGCCCGGAGCGTCTCCTCACGGAGCTCACGGGCGCGGGAGCACAAGGGCACTCGGCGCCCGCAGCGCTGCCCCCAGGCTCTCGCAGAACCACAGTGTTCACGTTGGAAGGGATCTCTAGGGATCATCCAGTCCAGCCCCTGCTCCTGCAGGGATACCCAGAGCACAGGGTGGCATCCAGGCGGGTTTGGAAGATCTCCAGACTCCCCAGCCTCCCTGGGCAGCCTGTGCCAGGGCTCTGGCACCCTCACAGTGCAGAAGTTCCTCCTCACGTGGAGATGGAGCTGCCTGTGGTTCCATTTATACCCACTGCCCCTTGTCCTGTCACTGGGCACCACTGAGAAGAGCTTGGCCCCTTCCTCCCTCCATTCCCCCCACGTGCCCCCTTGGCCCTTCCGGCCCTCCGGCTGCAGTGTGCGCCAGGGACAAGCGCTGAGGCCGGCGCCGCGCAGGGCGCAGCGGCCGTGCTCTCACCTCTGTTGGTTTTGCTGGGGTAAATGCGCTGGAAGTATTTGTACTCTTCGGGGGCTGGGAAGTCTTCGACAGGGTGGAAGGAGTATTTGGATTCAAAGTCATCTGCAGGGAAGAGAGGAAGCGGCTCAGAGATCCCAAGGGCCAGCCTTGCCGTGGGGCTCGGCTCCACCGGCAGCTCCCGGCCTCCTCCTGCTCCCGATGTCCTCCTCCGTGAGTGCGCAGAGCCCTGGGATGCTCCCCAAGGACAGGACAGCCCCGGCAGCACCGCGTCCGGCCACATCCCCGCCGACACCTGCGGCTCCGCGCCCGCCGCACTCACCCAGGAAGGCCCTGACGGCGGC